AACTGCTCCTTGGAGATAATTCTCTAGCTGTGAAACACTTTGAGAATCCCTGAGAATGAGAAAGGGACTACAGGAATGTACAATTCTTCTTTCATTTGGTCTTGTGGTAACTTGTGTTTGCAACTTTTGAAATGACAATCGTCATTATTGAAGAATAGACAGTGGTCAATGTATTTACTGGTAGCTGCTTCTCAGGAGGTATCATTCTGGATGAACGTTCCATTTTGTCAGCACCCAGTTTAACATTCCATGTTGCATGCAACTGTCACACCCACTGTCTAAGGGTAGGCAGCAATATTTCCTCTGATGTCTGTTGCTATGTGTGGCCTATATGTTTCAATGATTGCTCCTTTAAAATTCTTGCAAAAACACAAATCTTGAAGAGAATGTTGCTTGTGCTGGCCTGTTTCTTCCCATACGATATATTCCAGATTGGTGTGTGTTTTTGCATTTTGCAGTGTTTAGGGAACATTGCCTGTTTAAACCTTTGAACATTCTCTTGTGATCCTGGAATACTAAGTGTGAGTAACACTTGTTGAGAAGTGTTGAAAGTGAAGGAAAAGCTGACATGTTGCAATGTTGACAATGTTGGTTCATGTTGTTAAATTTGAAAGAGTGTGGAAAAGGTTTGTAAGGATGTTGCCAGGTTTGGAGTGTTTGAGCTACAGGGAGAGGCTGAATAGGCTGAGGCATTTTTCCCTGAAGCATCGGAGGCTGAGGGGTGACCTCATATAGAGGTTTTATAACATCATGAGGGGCATGGATAGGATGAATAGCCAAGGTCTTTATCCCAGGGGACGGATGTCCAAAGCTAGAGGGAATAACTTTGAGGGGAAAGATTTAAAAGGTAAATGAGACTTTTCACACAGGGTGGTGTATGTATGGAATGAGCTGCCAGAGGGAGTGGTGGACATGGGTACAATCATAACATTTAAAAGGCATCTGGATGGGTATTTGAATAGGAAGGGTTCAGAGGGATATGGGCCAAATGGTGGCAAACAGGACTCGTTCAGTTTGCGACATCTGGTTGGTGTGAACTTGTTGGACCAAATGGTCTGTTTCCGTGTTGTGCAAGTCCATGACTCAATTATTGTAAACCACCCCCACAACCAGAATCCTTACCATACACCTCAATGAAAACACTGTTATTCTTTGAGGGAACCGATGGATACTTCTCAAAATCAGCCATACAGACAACTTCGATCAGACCAGTTTCCTGCGGTGTCCATGCTGCTGTTGTTCGGACAGTGTTAGAATTTGGCCTTGTGGTAACTGAGTTCAGTTCCTCACCATCCTGAAACAATCTTGCACTCATCTTCTCAACTGGATAGACTTTTGAGACCTCACATATTAAATTGACCTTTTGCTTCACTTCTTTGGGCCTTTTGTCCAGGATTCTAGGCTGCTCCATGAAAGCTGTAATACAGACAAGAAATTCAGTTCATTTTAATTTGCTGCAGTGTGTTTTAGTTTTTAATGGACAGTGTGGAAGACTGAGCAGTGCAGGTATTGGACAATACATCACACCAGGAATTTATTACACTCACCCATAGTGACGAAACTGGAGTCATCTGCAGGAGGTTATATTGCACTTTAAGAGGGATCTGCTAATGCCAATCATGGGATGTGATTGGTAAATTTGTCTCAGCTTTTTTTATTCATTCACAGGATGAGGGCATCACTGGTTAGGTCAGCATTTATTGCCTATCCCTAATTGCCCAGAGGGCAGTTAAGAGTCAGCCACATTGCTGTGGGTCTGGAATCACATATCGGCCAGACCAGGTAAGGATTGCAGTTTCCTTCCCTACAGGACCAGATGGATTTTTCTGACAATTAACAATGGACTCATGATCACCATTAGACTCTTAATTCCAGATTGTTTTTATTGAATTCAAATTCCACCATAGCAAGATTCGAACCCAGGTCACCAGAACATGATCTAGATCTCTGGATTAATAGTCTAGCAATAATATGACTCGGCCAGCACCTCAATTCAAAACAACAAATGAGCTCACTTATTTTATTTTTAAATTAATTCTTGCTACTTTTCAGACATTGCAAATATTGAGTCTGTTTCCTGTATGCCAATCACTCTGAGCGGTCCATGCTGATGTATTCCTGATTTACCTTCACTGTGATCTTTCCTTTAACTGTCCCAGTTGAGGCTTGGATCCAGGTGTAAATGTCTTTCTTGTTATCTCTCAGAATCTGAATTCTTAGCATTTCCTTAAAGGATTATTTGGAGTAAAAGATACTTACTTTTATCTTCTTACTCCAAAATAATACAAGGAGATCTCATTTTCCGTCTTGTCTATTAAATCCTTCATTTTGTTTGAAATTTTTTTCAATTTTATGTCCCTCTTCTTATTATTATAACTGTCATTCGCTATTTTAACATCCCATACTTCTTTGTTGCATTTAGCCTCATTGCATCATTCATGCCATTTCATAAGATTGTCATTGCAGGGCCCCCTTTTCTTGCCTATGCCCTGCTGTGAAAAATCATATTTCTACTTAGGTACTGTGATAATCTTGGTTTTTAGTCTTTGTTTTTATTTCAAATTCCTCTGTTGTTTGTACCTGCATCAATAGAGAAACTACTGTAGAGTTTTACAGTAGTCATTGCTTTACTGTACTCTACAGTACTTACCTGTCCAGATTCAGCAATTGAGGAACTTCTACTGTACCTGTGCATGAGAACAGGGTACTGGAGTAGGCCACGTGATCCTTAAAGCTTGTTCTGTCTTCCAGCCTTTAATAGGATTATGGCTGATTTGTTTGTGTTCTGAAATCCACTTCCTTATCTACTCCTGATGTTTGCTTCTGCTGCCTAACAAGAAGCTATCCACCTCTGCCTTAAAAACAATGACCCCATGTTCACCACCTTCTGAAACAGAGTTCCAAGGTCACACAACTCAGAGAAAAGAAATTGCCTTCACCTCTGGTTTAAAGGGTGATCCCTAATTTTAAACCTGTGACCTCTAGTTCTGGACTAATCACACATGAGGAAACATCCTTTCCACATCCTTGTTAAGACAGTTGAAGTTCTTATACAGTTCAATCAAGTCACCTCGCACTCTTTGAAACTCCAGTGTGAACAAGCTCAGTCTGTCCAACCTATCCTCATAAGACAGCCCACTCATTTCAGGTATCACTCTAGTAAATGTCCACTGAACAACCTCCAATGTATTTACATGCTTCCTTAAATATGGAGACCAAAACTGCATACAGTATTTGAGATGTCATCTTACCAACCCCTTGTATAACTGAAGCTTAATGTCCTTATTTTTATGTTCAATTCCTCTCATAATAAAGGATTTCATTTCATTAGCCTTCTTAATCACTTATTTTGTCAGTTTAACAACTAATTGTGAATCACGCACCACAACAACTAGATCTCTCTGCACCTCAGAATTTTGCAGCTTTTTCAGTTACGGTCATACAGTATGGAAACAGACCGTTTAGTCTAGCTCATCCATGCCAACAGATATCCTAAACTGACCCAGTCCCATTTGCCAACATTTGGCCTGTATCCCTCTAAACCCTTTATATTCATGTACCCATCAAATGCCATTTAAATGTTCTCATTGTAATTGCCTCCACCATCTCCTTTGGCAGCTCATTCGATAGGCTTGCCATCTTGTGTGTGAAAAAAGTTGTCCCTCAGGTACCTTTTAAATCTTTCCCCTCTCACCTTAAAGTCATTCCCTCTAGCTTAGGACTCTCCTCCCTGGGAAAAAGACCTTGGCCATTCACCCTGTCCATGACCCTCATGATGTTATAAACCTCTGTAAGGTCATCTCTCGGCCTACAATGCTCCAGGGAAAACAGCCCAGCCTATTCAGCCTTTCCCTGTAGCTCAAACCTCCAACCCTGGCAACATCCTTATAAATCTTTCCTGAATCCACAATGGTTTTAATAACTTTTCTTTTTAAACTTACAGCAGTTCCTTCCTTATTCCTTTATTGTAAAACATTCCTTTTCCTATTTCAGTCAGCAATCAAAAATAAAGTAAAATACAAAGTAGTGGTATTTACAAAGCATTTGCAACAAACTTCAGCCAGAAGTGTCCTACTGAGATGCCTAGCTTCACAGATTTCAGTGACGAAATGAAACAGTATTTGTGAAAACCAATTAAACACTTGTATTTGCCCCTGAATTGTGTTTGTTTGTAACTTGTGTGAATGGGGCTCAAAAAATTGGTCTTTGATTTTAAAGCATAGATTTATTAGATTACATTGTTGATTTAATTTTACTCTGCTAAAATTACTATGTCTTTAATAAATTGCTGTATCTTTTGTTTAAGATACAGATTGATGTATTGAAGTAATGTTTTGCAGTCTGAGATTGTTCATTTCAAAGTCTGTTTGGAAACTATTGGGGTGAATTTTGAGGGTCTTTGAAGGTTTTAATTTTACTGTGTTGCGAGTACAGAAATAGGAGGGCTCAGTTGGTTCAATTGTCTGTCTCTGCATCAGAACAAATTCAAGACTGTTTTGCTTCCATTTAATGTTGTTTACCTGCAAGCTAATAGTCATATTGCGGCAACAAGCAAAAATGAATGAAACAATATGTTCCAGCATTGTGCTGGGCATTGGTTGTCATCTTGGAATCAAACTATTAAGACAATCAGCCTGAAAAATCAATGCAGATCTGAGCTGTCAAGCTTTGTTTTTCACACTCTGTGGCTGGATTAAAGATCTGTAGAACATTTACAATTGCATCATGAACTGGTGAGAAAGCTACATGTTTGCATCATTATCCAGGATGAGCAATGTTTACCATCACACTTTGTACTAACGACACAATGGAACTAACGACAATTTTCATCAATATTATTTCCCATTGGTTATTCTCAACAAATTATAGATATTAAATCTATGGTATTCTCTAAATGAGGAGTGCGTTTCTTGTGCAGTTGGAACTTACAGTAGGTTTGCAGAGTGACAGAGGAGTTTGTGATTGACATTGTGGTGTTAGAGCCCAAGTCCACTTCAGCCAAGCAGGTGTACTCCTGTCCATCATCTGACAGACTTGCGGTGAAATTGAAGACATTTCTCAACCTGTTATCTTCATCCGGAAGACCTGGTTCTTCTGTAGAACTTCTCTGAACAATCTCACTCCCTCTCATCCATGTGAGAATGAGTTTGTTGTTTGGATAGACTCTTGGTCCAATGCACTCCAGAC